AGGTACATGAAAAAACGAGATATAACGCATTATAGAACACATAAGATTACTAGGTGATATGCTGAGCTTGTGGTTGGGAAAGATAAGCGGGACGATGGGCGACAAAGAAAGTCACAGCACAAACGCCACTGACCTCGGCTCCTCGCCGTGTCATCTAATATATCCGGCCAAACGCATCCATCGTCCATGGGATCGCAGCCCGACAGTCGGCGAGCACCAATCGACTCCAGGTTCGAACTGAGGGCCTTTATTCCTCTTGTCCAAGCCATCGCTTGACCTCCCCTACCTACATCTGCACACAACTCTGGTCTCCCAAATGCACGTCGCGTGCGTCGGTGTGCAACGCGTGGCCCAGTCATCGGACTCTGGTACACTGTATAACGGAGGACAATCAAAGAAATATCGGACGATGAAACTAGCAAGAATATTAAGGTCTTTTGCTACCAGATTATGGGGAACATGTTCTGAATTCCACATGCCTATCCAAATTGGATTTGCAGAACAATTTTTTACTTGGTGAAATAGCACTGGCTCGACCGCACAATAGCTATTCTTAATGGACTGGCGGAGACGATATCGGTATCGCCTGTCTCCATTGAGTGGTAGCTTGATGAAAACCTTCTTGAGGGATGTCGGCTGTGTTCCTCTATTGTTTGCCTTAACTGGAATAAACAAGCAGTGATTGAAGGCAAGCGTTTCATCTTACGTCGTCATCGATAACATCCTAAAATCCGTCACAGACGATTTCTGCAAACAGCTCTCCTCATACTTTTTCCGAATAATCAAAATCACCGACATCGTGATCGTTGTAAGTAGCATGATCACCAGCGAAATTGGTTACCTGCCAAGTTAGAACGCCGCCTCAGAGGTCGTTTCGGTGGTGTTGCCTATCTTCTTGACAATCGCAACCGCTTTTTCCAGCTGTGATGAATTAATCGGAACGGAAATATTTGGGTGTTGCTCCTCCCAACCCTGGCACACCACGACCCCTTTTTTGTCCTGCTTTGGACTCATCAGCTGATGTGGAACTCAGAGCCTAGTAGTTCACGGCTGACACCCTGAACACTATGCTACTGAGATCCGCGAGCAACGCTTGACACAGCGGAAAGCAATTCAAAGTTGAATTTAGGGAACCCGCTGTGTGGTTGGGTTGCGACTCGCAACATCTATTGAGACCTCGGTTCACTTTGAGGTAAACCTCAGTCATTCCGATCGCGAGGACCCTACCCGGAATGAAAATATATGGGCGTTGCTTCGCCCCAACAATGGCACACCACGACCGCGGCTTCGTTCTGGTTTGGGACTCATCAGGTGGCGATAGCCTGAACTAAGGTGGAATTCAGAGCCTAGTAGTTCACGGCTGACGCCCTGAACACTATGCTACTGAGATCCGCGAGCAAAGCTTGGCACAACAGAAAGCAATCCAAAGTTGAATTTGGGGTTGCGACTCGCAACCTTCACGTTGAGGTAAACCTCGGTCATTCTGATTGCGAGGACTGTTTCTGCAATGGAAATATTTGGGTGTTGTTGCTCCCAACACTGGCACTGGGGCAACACCCAAATATTTCCATTCAGGATACGGTCCTCGCGATCGGAATGACCGCGGTTTACCTCAATGTGGAGGTTGCGAGTCTCAACCGAACCACACAGTGGGTTCGCTAAATTCAACTTTGAATTAATCAGAACCTTCACCTACTCATCACCGCTTTGCAGAACCACCACTCACATCGAGTTAAATGGTACGGGTTTAGATTGATGACATCGCCATCATGTACCGCTAGCGTACATCATCGTAACTTTCCCGATCTTTTTGGTGCGGTTGTCTCAGATCTCACCTTGTCACTGTGCGCGCCTATCAGACTCTAACCCTTCCCGTCTGATTTAAATATTCAGTCTGGAGCATGATTGCTGCTCCATACTGTGTGTGTGCAATCTGTGGGGCAGCAAAGTCAGTCTCCACCGTCGAACGAGCGAGTGCGAATCGAATTCACCTTCATTGATCCGCCCAAAACCCTTAGTGGTCGCTTGCCCACTCTGCTTCAGGTATATGAATGGGGATGAATTTTTGTGAAGCCCCAATTATCTTAATTAAATTATGTGAAGTTTCTAAATTGTTTCAAAACAACCGCCTTGTCGGTTATCTGAGAGCTGCTCGAGAGCCTCGGTGAATGACGGGGTCTCGTAAGGACGAACAGGTCCAAAGGCATTGGGGACGTCACAATGTTGTCTCCTATATCACTGGATACACTGATTCATTTTCTGTCGCATCCGCTTGGATGAAGGCCCGAGCATTTTTACGAGCCATTCAGTCAGTTTCGTGGATCAAGTTGTTACTCGGGTCTGTCCTGAGTCCACTTGAGCTGTTGATGTGACTGCTTCCAACGTCGACGAAGTACGATACGAACCTGCGCCGCCGATGCGAACGAAGTACCTCCAGTCCAGACCATCTTCCACGGTCTTTACTGCAACGTAGTGCCAATCTGGATAGCACAAATTAGCATACGAAGAAGTTCCTCCTAACTGCCGCTCGCTGACCTTCAAACGATAGACTGCCTCAGTTCAACCAGTGAGTTGATTCCAGGTGCCATTGCACGTTTTACCATATCAGCGCTATCATTAGCAACAAGTGTCCAACTAATATCAAAAGCATGCAACAATAAAAACTAAAGTTCTCTCTTTGAAGTGGACTGTCGGACTCTTATCCTCTTTCCTGCCACCATTTTGTGGGAGTTGATTTACTAAATCTTTTCTGCTTTTACCTTTCGAGGTGCTCTGTAACAAAAACCACGTGTTGCAATATTCATTCATGTTTGCCTCTTTGCTTGTGTGCCTTGAGGTAACAAGTTTCACTTACAGTGTCGTGTCCGTTAACTAGGATATTGTTGTGTACTGAAATTGTGGACATGCTCGAAACACATTTGTAGACTTCGATTAGAGCCTGCTCCAGGCAACGCTCACAGCTGGGTTATTTCAGCCTTGAGGAACATTTCCGATTGACAGTCGTCGTTGTATCCAATCCAGGTCTCGTAGGGGATGGGTAACCAGGGTGTTGAATGCTGTTTACACACCTACCAAGTGGTTGTTATGAGACCGTCCCTGGATGTACACGTTTTACACACTGAGTGAACTGCACTTCGCTCTTGATCCGGACGGTGGTATAATCGCCGCTTCCCCACAGTTTTATTGTCATGGGTTGACCAGCGACTACCCCGACTCATCTAGCCTGCCTTCGCGTGTTCCAAGTCACTGCTGTTCCGTTCATCTCTAACCAGCATTATGCCGTTCTCTTTTGGTTTACAATTTTTCAGTTTTCTCAATATAAAAATCACCTTCTCTGTATGCCATTTCGTTGTTCCGTCTTACACACGCTCTGTGCTGCGTCGAAGTTCACCTCGGTGTTCCGCAGACGGGACTGATTAATCACCATAATATTACAGAAGAGAGGGGGGGGAGTCGAATGTTATAGGTAGCAATTCGTCCCATCTAGACTCACTCAGGCAGCCGTCACACACCCGGAAAAGCACTGTACGTGCGTTTCATCCTTTCGGAAATCGTCAACAGTGCGCATTCCATCGGACTCTGGTACGGCTCGAACCCGCAACTCGACTGTTGCCAGTACGTGGTTGAGACCACTGAGCTACGGGGCACGGCAACGACCATCGTAAATAAGTTACTATATGTGATATATCGCCACTCACCATCCATTGGCTTACACGTTACTGCCGTGCAGAGGACAGGATAGCCCCCCTCACCAAGCGACGAGCTTACCAAACTTAGGCCGCCAATTAACTTTGGCATTATAAGCAGTTTGGTCTGCGTACTAATTACAAAAGAGTAGTAGGGGGAGTCGAGCGTTAGCGAACGAAATGTGTGCGACTATATGCCAGCACGATGCAGTCTCTAGGGTTCAGCGATGTTATCGCTCTCACTCTGTTCTTTCTGTCGATCGGTACCTCAAGACACTCAGTTTTCTTACAGACGAAGGTACAATTTTCTACCATTCTCAATTATAGCAACTTGATCACCATAGGCATATATCCCCGATGCTTTGGCCACTGACTATATACAAGAACTGCATAGTTGCACACACACACACACACACACATGGTGGCGTGGATTGGATCACCGCCATGCGTATCATTCGATCTGATTCTGTGCCCGTTAATTCAAGGGTTCGTTCCACGACTGGACTATCTTCTTAGTCCAACTTCTCTATAAAAAAGAACTCCAGTTGACTAGCCAGTGAGTAAGAGAAAAAAAGCATCAAGTGGCGTAAATTCCTAGCTAGTGGCGTTAGCTGTTCCTGTCGAGGGATCATGGGTTTGGTTCCTGATCCGTAGAAGACGAAGTGACCGACTAGCGATTCTCCGGATGTTTGGGAATCTATCTAACGGATGCTTCCGGGAAGAACCCTTATTTAAGTACGAAGATACTCACATCGAGAGGCTACATTAGTTTATTCTTTGTCATCTTCCTTGGTAAAATCTTTGGGATCTGCAACCTCGTTGGTAGATGCCCAATCAAACATAGTGAATCCCCAATGAAGCCAGTGGAACTCCCGCACTCTTTCAACTATTTTTGGTCCTTGACTGTTCTGACGGTTTTTATTGCCCATTCACTCCGAAATTCCAGCCCTTATTCCTCTAGGGGGTCTGGATAGGCCTGCACTACAGAACATCAGAATAGAATACCTGTGTGTTAGTGATACGTTCTTTTTTTGACGACATGAGTCAAGACATCCGAATCTAGCCCACCTCGGCACGTGACCCATACTTGACTAGCTGTACTGAACTGAAATCTCGGGAGACCAGCACTGCATTATTCGCTGCACATGACGATCCCCCGGGGTATTTTTACTTTTGTGAGTTTTTGCGATTTGTATTTTTTGTCGTTACGTGTGCACCTTACTCATTATGCTGGCATCAGCGTTCTTGCATTTTCCCAGGCTTTATCTTCCGTTTGTTTTTCTCGTTGTCCCACACCCCACTTTTTTTTCTAGAATCGTTTCAACATCAATGTGCCGCACAAGTTTCGTATCCACACATTCATGCTGCCAGCATTTTGTGATCACTGCGGCTCATTCTTGTTCGGGATCATGCGACAGGGATTGCAGTGCGAAGTGTGTCGGCTCAACATACACAAACGCTGTGAGAAAAATGTCGCATCTCATTGCGGAGTGAACACGAGGGATCTGATTACGGCCATTCGGCTGTGTGGCTTGAATCCGTCCGACTTGGGTGTCTCTCCTCCACCGACCTCTATCACCAATGCTGTGGCTTCAGCGCTTTCGGCCGGCGGTGGTGCTTTTCCCTGCACGCCCGGTATAGCCAATCTTCCTCCGGTGTCCAACTTTCCAGGTAGCAATCTAATCGCATCTCGTCCTATCCAAATGGGTTTACGTACAAGGAGTCCTTATGGTCCTCTTGGAGATTCGATCGTTGGAGAGCTTCGTTTCTCTGGGTAATTTTAGTGTTTTAGCTGTTTTAATTGCATCCATCCATCCTTTGCTGATTTTAATAACAATCGCTCATTCGAACAGCGTTTGAAAGTAGCAGTTTTATGTAATCTAACCCAATCATCCTGGTTAGATAGTCGTTGGCCAATGATCTTCATCGACTTTGGTCGTGAACGCACAATAATAACCATACTAATAATGATACTAATAATATGTATACTTCTCATAATCCGATAAAGTGTCTATAGTATCACAGATCAATAGGTACAAGAGTAACCATGCCTTTTCCGGGCGATAAGCATAGGTGTAATATTGAGGCCCCATGCTGAGGCTGATGTTGCATTCTTGATGCTTCTTCACCGCAGTTGGGCTAAACCAACTTACACTTAAACTACATCTCTTTAAGCTGCATAAATTTCACTCCACTTTATTTGGTTTGGTTTGCTTATCTGAATAATCTTCTATTAGCTGGCCACGTTGCTTACGCTAATTGCGCTTATCTTCGGTAACTTTGTTGCGTTTGTGGCATTTTTAAGTAACTTGTGGACATTTTTTACTTATCGCAGATTCGTTGCTAACCAATTTACTTCATATGGTAATTTAGCGAAGAGTTATGCCACCGTATCTGTATGCATTATTGGATTTATTTTATTTCATTTTGTCGTTTCAAGTGAATAGCTGTGCTTGATGTGCATGTTGACAAGGTGCCTACCTGTCTATTCCCCACTACCTCGTCCATACTGGCTCCAGGAGACAGTTGGTCGTTGCTGGAGGGACGGGGTGCACGGTCCTTGTGGTCGTGCTAGGCTCGAAGAGCGGTTCCATGCACTTAGTGTGGAGCGGACTACGGTCCAGCCACCGCCTTGTGTGCGCTTGATTCCCAAATACAGTGTGCTTTTGTTTACCTGTGAAGGAGTGTGGGCCGGCTCCGTTGATGAAACGTGGCCCCCATCCACATGCCTCCCGGTCTTATTCCTTCGGGTTTACACTGGATATGGGGTATGTGGTTGGAGCTGTGGGTGGTGTAGCGCAAGCCACCCATGATGCCTCTGTAGGCGCAGGCGTCCTGTGGCTGGCCACAATGACAGGCAAGTCCGAAACCGGATGCCGCCAACCAATATTGAGGCATATGTATCACATAATACCGATATAATGGTAGCGAAAATCACGGTTCAAAAACCTAGGTGTTAGATGCTGTTTGGCCCTATTGGAATAGTTCATTGAGTAATTTTTCTCGTTACTGTATGCTCAGTGTCGCATTCAGATCAAAGTGACTTGAGAGTTTGTTACTGAGTCTTGCCACACTTTCGCATAACTTGAGCGGGATTGCCCCTTTATTCCACTGATAGATTTATATGACCAGATGGAAATTGGAATGCATACTTCTTCCATCCTTTCATATAGCCAATATATGGTATTTCTCGCGAGGCTTTCCAGGTGTGCTATGCTGCAGATTGGACTAGTTCCTTCTTTGTAGCAGATTGTAAAACAGCAACAACTTATACTTCAATCGTCGAATCCAAAGGGTTCTAGTTAAGGTTTATTGAAACGCTCTCAATATGATAGTGCATTTTTTTAAATCTCAGCAGTCTAGCAACTTGATACAGAGCCAACAAAAACATGGAGATTAACAGATAAGGGAAAGTCACCGCGTTTTACTCATCGTGGCATAGTAGTTGCAGATGAGCGACACACTTCAGCTACTATGCCGCAGGAAGAATGGGACCTTTTACCAAAAGGTAGAACAAAACATTTTAGTTTGTTTCTCATACGCCGATTGTTCTCTTTTTTGCCATTTTCAATGTTTGTAGTATTAAACATGTGTATCAGTACAATACTATTCACAATTCTTCCACTGATTCCGGTTGCGGGCCATTTCTTCAAGCGTGTAAAGCCATTGGCATTCCTCATCTTTGGATCCCCATCCTGGAAGACGTACGGATCCAACAGCGGTCAGACACGACGTCAGCGATTTCATGTGCTGCCGCCAAGTGGAAGGCTGACCACCACGCAGTCGCCTCCAGCCAGGTTCTTGACGAGCGAATAGAGCGCGACGCGATAGACGCTCAGGTACCATGCGTAGGACGTGACCTAGCCATCTCAACTGGTGCCGCAAAACCAGTTTGTTGAAGGGAATATTGGCATTCCCCAAGATGTGACGTCGAACGTCATTACTGTTAACTCGATGTTGCCACCAAACACGAGCAATCCTCCTTAAGCAACCATTATCGGAGGCAAAAAGATGACGCATATCTTTCACGCGAATGGGCCAGGACTCATGCCCATGCAACAATGCTGAGCAAACTGATGCGTTGTAAAGGCGGCCCTTTAGCAAGAATGAGACGCCACAAGTGCCCCAGATTGACAAATACTGATCGAGCTTACGAATCATACGTTTAGTAAACGACTTCTGCAGGTACTCCAGAGCAGTTCCAACTTATGCCGTATCTTTTGCTTACTTCTGCCACAGATTGTGTGGATTTTGTTGCCTATAATAACCACGGATTGTCTGGGCGGCGCTTTTTGATATTGGGGCTTTTTGGACAAAGTGGATGGTCTACAAATACGTAATTCGGAGATCACACCTGGACACGTATTTGGAGACATATTCATTGTTGTGTACACTTGATCCTTCCGGGATGGAACAGACCGGAAGCCATAATGCTTGATTTCTTAGCCGAGATGTTGTTCATCATTCACTAGTGGCCTCAAGACATCGTGAATGAGAAACAGCGTTTCCTAAAAATCATCATGTCGAAGCTTATAGATGATCATGATACTATCGCCGAATAAAGTGCTGGACCATGTTTTACAGACCTCTGATGTCATTGCTATAAAGCAGAAACAGCGAATGACCGAGCTCGCTTACACTAGAGATAGCGCGTCGAAGAGAGCGATAGTCACCTAATGTGACTATCTGATTGCAACCACTTAGGTATGACGATAACCAACCTAATAACGGATTCCGGATCCCAATGTCCTCTAACAAAGTACATGCCCGTCAGTTACTCATTGCTTGACCGTGTCTCTCGGAAAGCTGCTTGCAGTCTAAGTGCTTGGCAGGGGCAGACCATTCCTCGAACCCCATTTTCTCTTCATCTGAGCCATACCGTTCTCGCTCCCACACTTTAATTTAAACGGTTTTTGTCATTACCTTCCCAATTCTAGGCACGTTCTCAACCTCTAATCTTACGAGAGATCCACAGTTTCGAACACAGCTTCCGGGGTTCGTGGCCAAAGGTGTCCTATGAAGGTCGCGAGTTAAAGTCGCTGTAGGGGACGGTATGACCCTTGTGGTATCCGTAGCCCACGCACGACTGGTAGTGGTTGCGTAGCAGTGAAGCGTCGGTACTGTTTATCGGCGTACCGCGATGCCAACCTGATTCAGTCACACCTCTAAAAGCATCCGATTCTCATATTGGATGTGTTTTACTCAATTCCGTCTGAGGCATGGTGACTAATCTGTCTTTTTGAAATACGTCTGGTACTGCGCTACCTGTGTGGTAACGTTCATGATGACACTCGAGGCATTTAGTGCTTCAATGGGCCACATTACCTTTTCACTATAACCCGAGCTATTTCTGACCATGAGTTATTGACGACTTGCGTACGAATTCTCATTCGATCTCCCTGCTTACGTCGTTTTGTTATATAATGACTTGAAATGCTGATAACTTAGGTTGATCGTTCTTGGTTTCACCCATACGTCCAGCTTCGTAATTGGTTCAAACGCTTCATCACTAAACGGGGTGACTTTCTCAGTGCGTTATTGGGTAGAATGCGGTCCGTCAATTTGTGTTTGACTAACAGGTGACTTCTGAATTGACCTCCTCGCTCTATGCCTCATGATTTTCAATCGTTTGCCCGTGCTCTCTGATAGATACGGGAGATCCGTGAGACGGCTGCGCCCTGATTGTTGAGCTTGTGCTGTTGATGACTCCTTTGGTTGCCCTCGGCGGTTTTCAAGCCGTTTTCGTTTTCTCCATTTTAACGTTTGATAAACTAGATCAGTGTCAATGTGCATGTTTATCGATTACTTCGTACCGTATCATGCTTCAGGAACTGTTGTTTCTTCACGTTCTAGGACCTCTGTTTTGTTCCCATCGAGACAATGTCCTTCATCCGTATGCGATGAAACCAGGGAGAGGACGCTGTGGTTCTTACAAACCATTTTCCCACTGCCTTGCGGCTAGACTAGTCCACCAAGGCCCCCGAGTAGTGTCTCCTAAGTCAACACCCTACCTCCGCTTGCGCAACCGGGTAGTATCTTGCTCTCTGACGAAACGGCAGGCTCCTCTGGGTTGTGTTCGGTTTTCTTTTTATGACAACTGTACCTTCCTTTATTTCCACCATCACCTCTTTTGGTGATGAAACGTTTGCAAACTTAGTCACTGTACGGCATTTTCATGTGTGATTTGTTTCGCAACTTAACTGGCAGGTGTCTGTGGTCGCGGAGGCCTATATGCTGGTTTTTGGAATTGGTTATCATCCGCGTTTCAATTTCCTGTTTCTTCCCTGTCCGTTTTGTCGATCATTCGTCTTGCCCCCTCATCTCATCACTTCCGTGGTTTGCTCTGTTCGATACACAGCTCTTCACCCAGCATGATCACTCCGCACGAGCGCTCACTGAGTTCGCCCATTCCTTTGCCCCCGAATGCATTGAATCAATGTTCTATGGAACATCCGGATGCCGCCTCGTTACGCGCCGCCGGCGCACTTTCCATTGTAAGTGGTCCCGTTTATGGACGTCAAGGTGTTGCTGCTGTCCCTCCTCGACCTGCCTCGCTTCAGGTCAGTCTCCACACCTATCGATGTTTTGTAATAGCATTGGGGTAATGCATTCCACAGATATTGTCTAATTGGTTTCACACGGTGTTGTGTCCACCTTCTGTTTTGTCTGTCTGCGTCCGCGCATTCCCTCTCCCCTCTCTCGCTCTCACAGCGTCCTATTTTCATCCGGAATTCAGCTTTCCACTACACCTGCAACATGCGTACCACAGTGGAACACTATAAATAGGTTGTCACCCATACATTTACAGTCTCCTGAGCCGCGATTGCTTTTAGCTCGATTTAGCCTCCGTAATCTGATTGATCGATTGTGTTGTCTTGTACTCTCTCTCATCTCTTGGCTGTACACACACCTGTCTAGGGTTGGTATCTAACCCCTCGGGTTTTTCCATGCGTTGGCGGAAATCGGGATAACCTTGCTACGCAGTTCAGTCTATAGAGCTATAAAGACCATCTCAATTATCCTGTGCAGCCCAACGACTTTCCATATGTCCGATAACTGGTTGCTTCATTTTTGACAGCGAGTTCACTGTATGGGTGAATTTTGCGCAATCTCGCTCGCTTTTAGCCATTGTTGACATCCGAATCACACCGGTTAACTAGCAATGCATTATTTTTGTATTTGTTTTTTCCACATTCATTATCTCAGGGTGCTACGATTGTCCATGGTCGGCCAGTGTAGGCGAGGGTGATCTCGCGGTAATACCTAGCCCACGACCGACTGATGATGTTCACGTGGCAGCGAGGCATCGTGTACAGTGTGCCGGCATACTGCTGATACCTTTCATTCCATGGTTAGACCACTGGTTGAGATGAAGTTGAGACCCGTTAGATACCGTTGGCTACTATTGGTCCAGTCTACCTCTACGCTGTCATCTATTCCAGCGGTGGAGCACTCTTCGTGACAAATTAGGTGTCGAATGAGGTGCTCGGATCGCTTTCGCAATCAAGTCAGATCACGGGCTACACTACCAACCGCTTTGCGTTATTACCAAATCGCATATGTTGTTATGACATACGTGAAATTTATGCCAATCGCTTTCGTTCTTTCGATTTTCCCTTATTTCCTTTTCATGAGCCATATCTTCCCCTATCTCATTGCTTGTGTGATACTTGTCCCGGTCATGGGAGTTTCCTGTTTGGGTTTGATTCTTATTCTCACGCACTGTTGTAATGCTGACTTTGTGTGCTCACTGCCTGGCGTTTAACTCCTAACAGAAAAGTTATAATTCACGACTCCCATTGGCCAAATTTTCTCGTCTTTATAGGCCAAACAGACATCTATATAGACTCTAGACCTTGGTCTTGACAACGGCATTCTCCCTGCTGTTTGGTTATCGCAGTGCACCACACTTGGCCAATCACTACCGCTTTGTGTGACCGTAGGTAGACGTTCGTTCGGTGTGGTCACCGCGCATTTTCAGTTAGTCGTACTATGAGATTCAGTTGAACTAACTCACTCGTACTTCATGGTACGGATTCTCTAGGCTTCTTTCTCCACTCAGTTGCTCGCAAAATAAAACGCGTGGCACTCTGTGCATGATAAGGGTTCGGGTCTTTGACCGCAATCGCTCCACTCCGAGGTCTAGTTCCACTGCTGCCTGATAGGTTTGGGATACCGTGACATCACCCCATGTAGTCGTAGTCGTCTGCGAGTTATCCTACGCGGACTTGTTCTCAGCGTTGGATAGACTGTTTGGTTGTTTACATTGAAAACGCCTTCCCTGAACTCGTATTCCACTGGGTTCACGTTGTAAGTGCGAGATATGTCACTTGAATCCCAACTGCTCCGACCAGGATTGCGCATCCCCTGACTCTTGAATAACCGGATAGGCAACCCTTGGAATGTACGGTTGCAGCCATTCTGTTTTGAAATACATCATTGTTTGTTCCTTTGAGCGCTTTACATCTTTCAAAAACCAGACTCTTTGAGAGTTTCTCCTACCGGATTGATCCGTGGTTAGAGGTCAGGGAACTCAGTTCTCTGGTCTTACAAGTTGCGGATTGGAACTGGGATGGCCTCCATTTTGCTAACATCGGATCGTTTGTGCAATACAATCGCACCATCCTTTTTAATGTGTACTTAATGTACTCGTTGCTCGCGGACCCAGCGGTTTTTATCTACATCGACCCTAAGTACTCTAGCTTTGGTTTCCGTTTTTTACAATCGGTCGGCTACCGAAAGCAGTAAACGCCTACATTATAACCCGGAAGTCATCGATTCGAATCCACTTAGATGTTAATGACTTTGCAATACACACAACCGGTGGTGGTGGTCGCGTCGCAGCGAAAAGTTGATGCATTTTACCGGCGTACTGCTAGTACCTTCATCTTCTTTTTTGTGTCGATTTTGGGCAATCTGGTCTAGTGGCCTACATCGCCAGACTTTTTGAGAACCACTGCAACAGTTTTGGATTCAATTATTTCCATCATCAGACCCATTCACGTCCACTTTGAAATGAATCGTTGGAAAGTATCTGCGATCATCTCGATCTGCTTGTTCGACTACCGAGAATAAGGCAGGGATGTGATGTGTTACGTATCATTGTCTCCGTAGGGGATCTCTATTTTAATTGTAAAAGCATTTTACTTTGCCATCTCAGTGTAACTGATTGGAATTCTTGTTCCTGTATAACTTTGAGTACCCCAGCACTATACTGCTCCGCGTACGACCACTTGCTTTTGCATGGGAACGAAGGATGCACATAAGCACTATTTTGCCTTCTACCTCTTCTTCTTCTTTGCGATGAATTCTGTTGCACTTGATCGTTTTTGACACCTAACCACAGAAACAGCAGACGGGTCGATCTGCTGTTGTGGTTCTCAATTCCGGACACTATCTTCAGTTAGACGTTTGAGCGTGTTTGTCGTCTTCTGGCTTCCGAACAGACCGCCAACTATGCGTTTTTTTTTATTCGGGATTCGTCCTTCGCTGTGGTTACTTTTCGTCCTCTCTTCACATCACTACGCCCCTGTGTCCCTGGACACCCAATAATTATGAGCAGTGTATCGACTGGACTCACTAAACGATGCGCGCTTTCCACCATTGTTTGTACAAGTGGTTAGACACGTTCTGCACATTTAATTGCTTTCAGAATCAGCTTGCTCTAAAACGTACTTGACGGACTGCTGATCGGTAAAGTACATGCGTAGCGGATTCGCATTCAACCTTCTACGATCACCTCCCAGTGGCAATTATTCCGCGGAAACGCATAGCTATTTTTGCGGCTTACTCAAACTTGTTTCTTCATCGTCATCTTGTCTTGACTCTTATGCAATCAGTGGGGACACCTAACCTCTTTCCTTAGTGCTTTTTGTACTGTATCGGCTTAGAAATAAGGTTAAATGATTTATGCAACCCCAACGGATGCCCCTTATCTGTTCTGCTACTCATTATAACCATCGTTGTTACCACAAATGTGGCTATTATTCCTGCTCACGTTCGTGCTTTGAATCTTTATTGACCTTCTCCCGTATTATTGGTGTTGAAATCATTTCCTTACCTCCGTCTTCCAGGATCCCTTCACATCCTCTCCCTTGAATGCCACAAACCTCCGAATACCATCTTTACAAGACTTCGTTTTTCTCAAAGTTCTGGGCAAAGGTAGTTTCGGTAAAGTTATGCTTGCTGAAGAAAAATCCACCGGCGAAGTCTTCGCTGTCAAAGTGCTCAAAAAAGAGGTGATTCTTCAGGATGAGGATGTGGATTGCACCTTGACTGAACGTCGTATCCTGGTGTTGGCAGCCCAACATCCCTTCCTCACCGCACTCTACTGCGCATTCCAAACAGAGGTGAGTTGTCTCTTCAACTTCGGAGGTTTCTCTTTGCTCTCTCTCTCTCTCTCTCTCTGTGTGTGTGTGTAGCTACCGGTTTTACCGCGCATGGTGTCATCCCGAGTAGGTTGTGTTATTTTCTGGATCACAGATTCGTTCACTGCTCAGTGAGGACATCATGATGCATTTAGAACCCACCGTGTGTGATCACTGATGAAAGCGAAGTATTGCTCCAATCTAGCAAATATTCGGCGGTATTTTCTCAAGTGCCGGATCGAAATGTCTGTTGAACTGAAACCGCTTTACACAGACTAAATTCTGTTCGCCGCACGTCTGCAAACCCAGTTTCCTCTTAATGTAGCGTTCTTACAACACAATAACTGGGTTTTTGCCGGGTATGAAAAAGTTCATCATCAATTGTTCATTTGTTCTCCGAGCTTGGCGGTTTTGTCGCAAACGTTTCACCACCATGCGAGGTGGCATCCTCAGTGCAGTGATATGTGGCGTGATTCCTCCATTTATGATCGACCTGCAGGTGACTTTTGAACGTGGCAGTGTCGATTTAGGTCCCGTGACCTCTACCCACTTTCCCCAAGACTAAAGTCGGCGCCCGAGTTGTTCTGCCTCAAACCGCGTGGCAAAATGTTCTTTATTTCTTTCTGTCGTAGTGGTTCGTACATTGAATCGACGTCCACGCGCATATTGATTAAGTGTTTCGTTGAGAACCAAGCTTCCAAGAATTCTCTTTCTTTTCTTGTTTCACCCCGTGCCAGGACTTCTGCTTTGCTCCAATCGAAGTTATGTCCTTCTTCATCTACATGCATTGAAACTAGCGACGATGCATAATGCTTTACACAGGCTCTTTTATGTTCTTGTATCCTTGTTACCAGTTTGCTTCCCGTCTGGCCAACATAATCCCTTTCGCAATATCGGTCAGGTATTTTGTATATCACATTGCGTTGTTCATGTGTCTGCACTTTTTCTTTTGGTTTTGAAAGGGTTTTTCTCAACATGGCTGTTTGTTTGTGTGCTACGATGAGATAATGCTGTTTGAATAGTCTGGCTGGCATTTCCGATATGTTCTTCATATAAGGCAGAACAACCCGTTTCTCCGTTGCCTTTGTTGTTGTGTTTGTTGTTGCCGCTGCTGTTGTTGTGTTGTTGTAGGCTGTATGTTTACGTTGTTGTGATTCAGACACCTTCGGATGAAGCTTCGTGGGTATCCGTTGAGTTGGAAACATTTAAGTAGGTGCTTTTCTTCCTTTTGCTTTGCTTCTGTGGTACTGCAGTGTGTTTGCACTCCGCGTAACAGTGTCTGCACACAGCTTACTTTGTGGCATTTCAGGTGGTTGCTGTTAAAGTTCAGAATTTGGTCTCTGTGTGTGTGCCTTTTCTGTAGACCGATGTTTGCAGCTCGCCTTCTTGTTACAAATACGTCCAAGAAAGGGAGTTTTAGTAAGATTGCACGCCACATATCACTGCACTGAGGATGCCACCTCACATGGTGGTGAAACGTTTGTGATAAAAGCGCCAAGCTCGGAGAACAAATGAACAATTGATTCATCAACCCGTGCTACCAGTATTTCGAAACATTTTAAACTCATCATCATGTAGTAACTGTTTTTGACATTCTGTTGGGTGGACTCACCGAAACCAACCACATCCACGCTAAATATGGCTAAACTCCGCTACACGATCAAATCTTCACACTTCGCCAGATCCTCGAGCTCCGCCATGTGTATCAGAGGCCAGCGATTGCTATGTTCCTGGATATCCGTGCAGCCTTCGATTCTGTCGATCGTACACTACTGTGGCACTGTGTACTGAGGAATGGTGTCCCCGAGAAGTTCGTCTCCATACTGCGCGCTCTATATAGTCTGACCTCGGGCAGGGTTAGGGCTTATGACAAGCTTTCGCCTACCTTTGTGGTCTCCAGTGGAGTTCGACAAGGATGCCCTATCTCTCCGTTCCTATCCAACTTTGCTATTGAGGATGTCTTGAAGAACGCTCTAGGCGATTCGTTGAACGCTGGCGTTGAGCTCCTCCCACATAGTCGAGTTGTTGATTTGGATTATGCTGATGATATCGTCTTGCTGGGTGACGATCCACACGTCGTCCAACTTGCATTAAACCGCTTGGCGATTGAAGCATCAAATTATGGTATGTACTTTTCACCATCCAAATGCAAGGCTCTCTTCCAAGACTGGCAGGTGCCTCTGCCTGCACTCATGCTTGCTGGTGAGACACTAGAAGTTGTGGAAATTGCATCACTGCTGGCGGGGCTGTTGTAGACGAGATTTCGATGCGCATCTCGAGAGCAGGCCTCGCTTTTTCTAGGCTGAGGCATTTGTGGCGTCGCCACGACCTTCGTCTCTCCATCAAAGGGCGGGTCTATTGTGCAACTGTTCGTGCTGTACTGTTGTACGGATGCGAGACCTGGCCCATTCGTAAAGATGACTTGCGTAGGCTATCCGTTTTCGAGCACCACTGTCTGCGGTCCATTGCCCATGTGTGATGGCAGCACCACGTAAGCAATGTGGAAGTTAGACAGCGTGTCTTGGGATGTGGAAGCCACTCGCTCGAGGAACTCATCTCACTGCATCAACTGCGGTGGTTGGGACATGTATTGCGCATGCCTGTCCAGCGTTACCCCCGTCGTGCGTTGTTTGCACTTGCTGGACAGGGCTGGAAGAGACGGTCTAGTGGACAGCCTACAACATGGAGAAGCCGCATGAAAAAGCTGACGAAACAGTTGGCCTCGGCCAGTTGCTGTCGACTACCTGGTTGGGGTCCGAGAGATGCGGATACTTGCTGGTTGAAGACCTTGGAAGCCATGGCTCAAGATCGATGTCAATGGCGGACGTGTGCATCGGTTTGTTGCGGTGTCCCTTCTTCCTCCCCCTAAAAAAAGAACAAACTGAAAAAATGTCAAAAACTGTGAGTGGTAAAATAGACAAAAAAGCAGTTCTTGTTGCTCTTTTCTTATTATTCATATTGTTTTCCTATTCAGCCATGATTCCGATGGCACAATATCTGTACCACAGGTTGTGTATTATATATAAATATATATACAACATCGCACCAATCGTGTCATCTCGACTGGTGCCCAAATGTTTGCAGTGGTTTGCCAATTTCAGCCAACAGTCTGTGACCATCACCAGCTGAACCACTTGATCCACAACCCATTTGCCTCTATATCGAATTATTGCTATTATTACACTGATGTGAATCAATGGGGAATAGTGTCTTTAACATTTGACTGCACACATTATAATGCTTTACTTACGAGTAGGGGATTTTGCTATTAGTAATTGAGGTTCTTCGCAGCCAGCTTCCAAATCAGATAGTCGTCCACTTGCCCGGAAAAGCACTAAACTGCAGTTTCAACTTGTTTGGCATCATCAGTAATGCGCATACATCAGGATTCGAACCCATGACTACCAACGGCTTGCATAGCCAGTCAGCAGCTTATGCTAGGCTACGGGAGTCTAGCAGTCTAGTGCTTTTCTCGGCATGTGGACGACTATCTGATTTGGAAGCTGGCTGCGAAGAACCTCATTTATCTATTTATCAAAATCCCCTACTCATGAGTACATCAAAATATATCCACCCTAACAGTTAATAAATGCTATGTCGTACATGGCTGCTGTCAGTGGACGCCGGGGTCAACCCTGTCCTCTGCAGCGTTGGTAACTTGCATGGCAGTGGAGGATAAGACGCGCTATATCACAGTTAGCTTGTAAATCATGACGGTCCGAAGCTGTGCCCAGTGGCATAAGCTACTGACTGGCGGTTCAAGCCACTGGTGGTCATGGGTTCGAATCCTGATGGATCCGATGGATGGACTCACATTATAGTTCACAATTTGAGCTCCAGTGTCTTTGTGCGTCAACCTCACGCTTACACGATTTGAACATCTGACTGCACAGTGCAGTCAGCCCCATGCTGAGGCTGATGTTGCATTCTTGATGCGTCTTCACCGCAGTTGGGCTAAACCAACTTACACTTAAACAAGGTATTTTACGCTGGATAAATTTCATTTCACTTGATTTGGTTTATTCTGCCTACCTGAATAATCTTCTATTAACTGGCCACGTTGCTTATGCTAATTGCGCTTATCTTCGGTAATTTTGTTGCGTTTGTAGCATTTTTAAGTAACTTGTGGACATTTCTTACTTATCGCGGATTCGTTGCTAACCAACTTACTTCATATGGTAATTTAGGGAAGAGTTATGCCACCGTATCTGTATGCATTATTGGATTTATTTTATTTCATTTTGTCGTTTCAAGTGAATGGCTGTTGCTTGATATCCCCGGTGTGGCTGCGCTTGATGTGCATGTTGACAAGGTGCCTACCTGTCTATTACCCACTACCTCGTTCATACTGGCTTCAGGAGACAGTTGGTCGTTGCTGGAGGGGACGGGGTGCACTGTCCTTGTGGCGGTGCTAGGCTCGAAGAGCGGTTCCATGCACTCAGTATGGAGCGGACTACGGTCCAGCCACCGCCTTGTGTGCGCTTGATTCCCCAAATACAACGTGCTTGTGTTTGCCTGTGAAGGAGTGTGGGCCGGCTCCGTTGATGAAACGTGGCTGCCATCCACATGCCTCCCGGTCTTATTCCTTCGGGTTTACACTGGATATGTGGTGTGTGGTTGGAGCTGTGGGTGGTGCAGCGCAAGCCATTCATGGTCCCTCTGTAGGCGCAGGCGTCCTGTGGCTGGTCACAGTGACAGGCAAATCCGAAACCGGATGCCGCCAACCATATATATATATATATATATATATATATATATATATATATATATTTGCAGTCCATAAGATAGACATAGAGCCAGCAAAAACCATGAAACGGAAGTAATAGATACAGAAACCACAACGAAAAGAATGAAGGTTGCAAAAGTTTTTTTGTATCTTGTCTTTTTTTCACCCGCCGTTTTATCTTTTTTGTCTGTTTAATGTTTGCGACGTAAATCAAAAAATTCAAGACAAGCCTTTGTACACATTTTCCATTTGGCCC